GGGTTCAAACCCCAGCATTTCAGCCTGTTAATGTTAGGTAGCATGTGCTGTTTAGGCTGGAGGAGCTGGTCCCACCTGCTCTCTCCCCTTTAACACTGTGCCATGAAATGCTAACGTTTCTCTCCACATGCTGTAGGTGAACCCATTGGATGGGGCACCAAAGTGATCCTGTATTTGAAGAAGGACCAGACAGAGTACTTAGAGGAGCAGCGTGTCGAATAGGTGGTGAAGCAGCACTCCCAGTTCACCATCTACACCATCACACTGTGTATGTGAGGGCTTTTGGCCTTTGTGCAGCTGGAGGTCACCTAAACCAGCTAGGGAGGGAGGAGGCTTTTCTGCTATCTAATATTCTCAGACACAGTTTTTGGTTGCATGAGCTGTGGAGATACTCTGAGGACTGGTTTTGGGAGAAACCCTGGTTCTAGATGCTGCATTTGTTGGGCCTTGGAGGGCCTACTTCTCTCATCAGGAGTGAAAGAATTAGTTACAGAAAGTAACAGTTATCTGGAGACAAATCTGACCTTTGTTTGTCCTTTTCTCCACAGCTTGAGAAGGAGCGTGAGAAAGAGATCAAAGATGATGAGGCAGAGGAAGAAAAAGGTGAGAAGGAAGAGGAAGAGTCAGCATCCAAAGATGAGGATGAGCCCAAAATTGAGGATGTGGGATCTGAGGAGGAGGAGGAGGAGGAGGGAGACAAAGGCTAAAGGAAAAGACCAAGAAAATCAGGGAGAAATATATTGACCAGGAGGAGCTGAACAAAACCAAGCTTATTTGGACCCGCAACCCTGATGACATCACCCAGGAGGAGTATGGTGAGTTCTACAAAAGCCTCACCAATGACTGGGAGGCCCACCTGGCTGTCAAGGTGGGTGCTGGGCCACCCTGGCTTCCAGGGAGAGACAGCAGGCCCCTTTCCCATATCTGGAGCCACCACACAGTTGTGCCTCAGTGGGACAGGGGGCTCCTAGGGTATTTGGTGGTTCCTCAGTTTGTGTTGTGACTCTGTGGTTGGTAGTGCCAGCCTAGAAGTAGAACAGGAGGGTGCTGGGCCTCAGGAGCATGACTTTTCTTATCCAGGCCTGCTGGATACCAGACATCCCTGATGTGTAGGGGGCAGAGAAGCTGACGAGGGGGAGATGCAGGGAAGGGGTTGAAGGGAAATGTCCCCACAGCTCTTTCTCCTCCCTGGCTCTGCAGCACTTTTCCATGGAAGGGCAGCTGGAGTTCGGGGTCCTGCTCTTCATCTCACATCGTGCCCCTTTTGACCTCTTTGAGAACAAGAAGAAGAACATGAAGCTGTATGTGAGGTGTGTTTTCATCATGGACAGCTGTGACGAGCTCATCCCCAAGTACCTAAGTAAGAGCCCCTTTGCCTCAGCCTCCCAGTGCAGAGCTGGGACCATTCCAGTGCAGAGCAGCTGGCTGAGGCATTATCTGGTGTGGGCACACAGCAGTCCACGTCTCAGCACTTCTCCTTCTGTCATCAAGCTCAGAGCTTCTACCCTGACTCCTGTTTTCATTTCCCCTACTCAGACTTCATCTGGGGTGTTGCAGACTCAGAAGACCTGCCTCTGAACATATCTTGTGAGATGCTCCAGCAGAGCAAGATCCTCAAAGTGATCTGCAAAAACAGTGTGAAGAAATGCTTGGAGCTCTTCTCTGAGCTGGCAGAGGGCAAAGAGAGCTACAAGAAATTTTTATGAGGCCTTTTCCAAGAATCTGAAGGTGAGCTGGGCACCCTGCATCTTGGAGGAGGGAAAGGCCCATGGTCCATTTGTCTGAGGAGCAATCTTGTCCATGTGCCATGTCTTCTCTGCATGGGTGTTGAGATGATAAAGGAGGACAGGTATGTCATGAGTACCCCAGAGAGCCTTTGTGGGCAGCTGGCACCTCTGGTTGCCCTAAACTCCAATGATCAGGGGGTGGGCAGAGAGAGCTGTGCCCTCAGGGGTGGGCAGTGCATTGCAGGTCCCATCGTGGAGGCTTCATGCATCTCTTCTGCCCCCAGCTGGGCATCCACGAGGACTCAACCCACTGGAAGCCTTTCAGAGCTGCTGCGTTACCCCACGTCCCAGTCGGGTGATGAGCAGGCTTCACTCTCCCACTACCTGTCCCACATGAAGAAGACCCAGAAGACTATCTACTACATCACAGGTGAGCCAGAGCTTCTCCACGCCCTAGTGAGGTGGAGGCAGGTTACCTGTCTGCTAACCCTAACTTAAAGCAAATTCCTCTGGGTAGGTCCTGCTGCCTTCAGCAGGTCTTCCCTGCTGGATCACAGCCCATTGTTGGGGGCTGGAGAAGGACCACCAGGCCTAGAGCCCTGGCTGCAGCCAGTTTTATGCAAGGTCTTCCAAGTGAGTGGTGCTATTTCTCCTGCTGTAACTGGCTCTTCTATCTTGGTGACAGACACAGGGGAGAGTAAGGAGCAGGATGCCAACTCGGCCTGTGTGGAGCATGTGCAGAAGTGTGGCTTTGAGGTGGTGTACATGACAGAGCCCTTTGATGAGTACTGTGTGCAGCAGCTCAAGGAGTTTGAGGGCAAGACTGTATTATCAGTCACCAAAGAGGGGCTGGAGCTGCCTGAGGATGAGGAGGGAAAAAAGAAGGTGGAGGAGAACAAAGCCAAGTTTGAGACCTTCTGCAAACTTACGAAGGAGATTCTGGACAAGAAGGTGAGATGGGCAGGGGGCTTAGACCTGGGCTGGAGGCAGGAGGGCTGGGCCCTCTGTGATACAGGCAAGGGCCCTGGCTCAATGTCTGCTTCTCATCTCCCTCATCTCCTGCAGAGGAACCACTAAAGGAGACTGGAGGTCCCAGCATGCACCATCTTGCTCTAAGCAGCCAGGCTGCAGGTGGGGTCACTGACCCAAATACATGCATTGATGGGAGAGGGTAAGTGTGGGGAAACATGCAGTGGGTGCTGAAGGTGCTGGCTGTGCTGTCCAAGCTCATTTGTGCAGTAGTCCTGGAGCTGCTTGGACCTTCTCTGCTTGCTTTGAGGTGTCCCCAGTTGAACCTGGGGCACTGTGTGCTGTGACTGGGCCCAGTTCAGTGGGGACCTTGCTCAGCTAACCCTTGGCTACACTGGCAGGTAATGACCTCAGACCGGTTGGTCTCATCTCCCTGCTGCATCCTCACCAGCACCTATGGTTGGGCAGCCAACATGGAGCACATCATGAAGGCCCAGGCACTGTGGGACAACTCCACTATGGGCTGCATGATGGCCAAGAAGCACCTGGAGATCAACCCTCACCACCCAATTGTTGAAACGCTCCCCCAGGAGGCTGATGCTGACAAGAATGACAAAGCTGTCAAAGATCTGGTGGTGCTACTTTATGAGACTGCTCTGCTGTCCTCTGGTTTCTCCTTGGAAGATCCCCAGAGCATCTACAAGGATGATCAAACTGGGTCTTGGTAGGTGCCCATGCAACTTCTTGGGCCTGGAGCAGGTCCTGAGATCAGGTTAGCTGGTCAGGCCAGCGTGTGACTGCCTTGGGGCAGGGAGGAGGCCAGTAAGCAACTCGGAGCTCCGAGTGGACTGTCCTGTCCTTGGTAGGGCCTGGGGCCACCACCAGGCTGCTCAGGTAACAAGCAGAGGCTTTTTATTTCTTCAGACTGGATGTCAAAAGTCTGTCATGGGAGATGTGACCCATCTGGTGGAACAGCTTGTGCTTGCACCCAACTTTTTTCCCAAAATTGGCTATTGACCTAAAAACATAGATGAGGAGGTGCTGTGGCTCGGTCTAACTAGTGGATGCAACAGCCAAGTCCTTTGGGCTGTGGGCAGGAGCCAGCCTTTGCTCTGGGAGAGGCTGCACCTCTGGTATCAGGTGCCACTTAGATGCCTCATCTCTACCTTTCTTCCTCTCCCAGGCATCAATGAAGACGAGGTGACTGCAGAGGAGCCCAGTGCTGCTGTCCCTGAGTCAATCCCCCCTCTGGAGGAAGATGAAGATGATGCATCCCATGTGGAAGAGGTAGCCTAAAGCAGGAGGAAGCCTCTTCCCTCACCTGCCAGGCCTCTGCCCCATATCATGTCTGCTTAGGAGGGGGCCTGCTCCCACCAGCTGCTGCTGACTCCCTGGTGGTGTGGGTGTTTTTGGCTATGGTTGGTTGGCGTTGGTTCTGGTGGGGTGCAGGAGGGCATGATTCTGTTTTGTCACTAGTGAGCAATTTGGGCAGCCCGAGACCTCTCTTTTGTCTCTTACCTGCTTGTGTAGGAACAGCTGAGGGGGAGCAGAGGTGAGGAGGCATAAGGCTTTCCTTCTGCCTCTGCCATGGGTTCTCCTGCATTCCCAGTAGGCATCAAACACTGGGGTGGGAGAGCTGCTGTCTCCCTGAACCCCAGGGTAGCATGATACATTTGGGTTGGTTTAGTTAGTTCTGATTTTTTTTTTTTATTATTATTCTGTTGTTTTGTTCTGTTGGAATTAAAGTGTGGAAGATACTTTACATGATGGGATCCCTTGTGTTTCATGTCTATCATAGGTAACAAAGGGTCTTAGCCTGTGCCTGAGGGTACTGGGATGCTGGTCTCTTCCCCTGCCCTGACTGGTTTTCACAGCCCTGCTTCAGGTGACCTCTACTCCTTCTCTGCCCAGGCACCATGGAGTGGGTAGGAGAACTACACGACCTGCTGTGCAGGTGGGGTCATCTCCAGCAGGCAGTGACTTTCCACCCAGAGTGCTGCAAGCCCCACAGCCTGGGTACAAACCCTTGCAACCTGTGTGTGTCAGGTGGGCAAGTTGTGCCAGGACCTGCATCTCTGCTGCTGCTGCCTGCTCTCAGCTGACCATGAGTCACTGAAGGCAATTCTTAATTGGGAATGTTTTGTTGGTTTTTCCCCCCCACTATTTCTTTCTTGAAGTCTAAGTTAAATTAGAAAAGATAACCCATTCCCCACCTGGCAACTAACCTTTTTTTTCTTTACCAAAGGAAGAGGTGGGGTGAAAAAAAACCCAAACCAAACAAACCCAACACACCCCTGCACACATTCTCCTTTCAGTCTGTCAGCAGATGTTGAGGGGAGACATTTGGTGAATTTTCCAGGGGCAGGCTGGAGGCTGCACAGGACATGCACTTCCAAAAGCTGGGTGCTAGGAAAGGAGCACAGGTAGAACTGCTCTGAAGCCTGGGCTGTGCTCAGCACCAGCTCTTGTTCCTGATGGCTCTGTGAACTTGGTGCTAAGTCTAGGAGCTGCTTAGCATGGTCTCTTCCTCCTCTTGTGGCCCACATCTGAGTCTCCTGTTTCTCTAGCTCGGCTAGGCCAAGGTCCTGCCTCTGACCCTAGACCTCACCATGGCTTCATTGGCCTACAGACAAGGTTTTTCACCAGGCCTCCCATACGTAGAGGTGGGATGTACCATCCACACCTCAAGCCACCCCTGGTTCTGGTCTTTGGAAAGGAAAGACAGCTTTGCTGTCCCCTAGAGATCAGGGACACAGGAATGATTGGAAAGTCTCTCCCCTCCTTCCAGAAATATGAGGAGAAGAGGAAAAAAAAACCAACAAACCAAAATTAAAACATTTACCCTTAGGTAACTATATGCAGCATATTTTTAATTTAATAAAATAAAATGAGAAAAAAGTTGCCTTTCAAAAGTACCAAAACCTGCTGGCTTGTCAGTCAGGTTGTGTTGAGGAGAAAAGGGTTAACCAGTAGAACCCAGGCTCCTGGGGAAGAGCAGCTTCCAGTGGTCCCTGCCCTGCTGCCTGTGGAGCAGGAACGAGGCACCACAATCAAGCTCTGCCCCACTGCTCAGCCCTCCAGGCACAGTGGGGCTCTGGTCAGGCCCCAGGAAAGCCAGGGCAGATGCCTCCAGTCAGCAGGAGGCAGAGGGGCTGTTTGTGCTTCTCTGAATGGTGGCTGCAAAGCCCAGAAACCGTGGCACCGACACACCCAGGTGCTGCTGGGGCTTCTGGGCAGTGCAGCCTTTGGCCTGTGACAGCAGCGGATGTAACCAAAAAGCAACCTAGAACAACTCTGCATAAAAAAATCAGCCTGGGCTGAGGGGAGCGAAGAAAAGTGTCCTGGAGTAGGGGCAAGGAACTGATAAAAACAAACTGGGAAGTAACAGCTTTCACTGCAGCGTGCCCTCTCAGAGCACATCCTTGACCTGGGGTAGGACAGGCTGGGATTCATTCCCTTAGCTGTGCCTGTCCTACCTGGAGCACCTCCCGGGCTGGGAGTGGGGGCCTTAGAGCTCCCCCACCTTGGGAATTGCCTCACATGGAGGCATTTCAAAAAAAGGAAAAAGCTAGTGTTTTCCTTGCCATGTCCTCCTCCTGAGCTCTGTACTAGTGACAGAAATGGAGGAGCATTAGCCATAGGCAAGACTTTCCCAGGGAAAACAGCTCCCTTGTTCATCAGTGACTTTGGAGAGAAGCCACAAGACAGAGGTGGGCCAGGAGTACCAGCATGCCATCCTGGTTTTCCCCCAGGATGCAAGTCCCCATGCCTTGGCTGCAAGTCTTTGACCTACCCAGGCCCACGCCTTGGCTGCAAGTCTTTGACCTATTAAGGCAAATGGAAAGGTTTGGCGCTGTGCAACCCAGAGCATTCCCTGGGCTTCTTCCAGCCCCTTCCCCAGGAAAAGCAGGTGGAAAAAATGAGTCCCTGGTCCAGCCTGTCCATAGCCCACCCCGCTACTCGGCGGGTTCTGAGAAATCAAGCAAGTACCCCCAGGTGGAAGGCAGGACAGCAGGCACAGCTCAAACGCCACGGCCCGGGGTCCTTAAACCTTCTGCACGGGGGTCTCTCCCGGCGCCAGCTTCTTGCCGCGCTTCTTCATGCGGCTGCGAGCGTAGACGCGCAGGAAGAGGGCCGTGAAGACGACGGCGACGCCCAGCCCGCCCACCACCGTGACGGTGTGCCCGTAGATGAGGCAGGAGAGCAGGATGGCGAAGGCCTGCCGCAGCGTCATGATGATGGTGAAGACGGCCGCCCCGAACTGGTTGATGGTGTAGAAGATGAAGAGCTGGCCGCAGGCGGAGCAGACGGAGAGCAGCACGGCGTGGGCCGTGAACTCCGAGTGGCGGGGCACGAAAGGCACCCTGCTCCAGGAGGGAGCCCACCGTGAACAGGCAGGAGAAGACGTTGACGCCGAACATCATTTGCACGGGAGACATCTTGTAGGTGAAGAGGGCGTCCTGCCAGTTGGAGGTGAAGCTGTCGAAGATTATGTACCCGGCCAGGAGGACTACGCCTGAGAAAGTGGTGACGGTGGACGCGTGCCTGTTGGGAGCGCTGGAGAGCAGGAACATGCTGACCCCCACGGAGATGAGGGCAGCCGTCAGGTACTCCCAGTACTCGTAACTCTTGCGCGACACCAGTTTGCCCATCAGCATCACCGGGATCACTTTGGAGGCCTTGGCCAGCACTTGGGTGGGGAAGCTGATGTATTTGAGCGCCTCGTACTGGCACCAGCTGCTGAGGATGTTGGAGAGGGAGGCAAAGGAGTATTTGTACATAGGAGCCCCGTGGCGCGGCTGCTTCGTCAGGGCGCAGTACAGCCCGGCCACCGTGAAGGCCAGGATGCGGTTCATGAACACTAGGAACTGGGAGTCCGTGAACTTCTCACCAGGGTCTGTTTCAGTGGCCCCGTATGTTCTTGTCATCACACGCTCTTGGAGGACGCCCCACGTGAGGTAGGAGATCTGCAAAGCAAGGCGAGCGCAGGAAGAGTCAGGACGTGTGACGGCAGCTGCAAGCAACCACAGGAACAGACCCCAGGAGGTCCTTCCTTGCCCCAGCATTGCCACGTCCTCTGCACAGCAGCACTTCCCCAAGACACCAGGAGATGAGGCCACCCCGGCTCCACCCGCCTGAGGGCACGTGCTGTCCCCTGTGGTTACAACCAGGAACATCCAGTTCAAACGGCTCAGCTGACAGCCCCCCCAGGGGGGAGCACCCCACGCAGCAGGGCTGGCACTGCCGCCGGTCAAACCAGACTGGTGGGACCGGGAATGTCACGGACGCGCAGCGGTGGTTTTGGTGCCAGCTCCCTGCCGCAGGTCCTGGCAGCTTTCCCTGTGGCCTCTGCACTGCTTTTCACTTCCAGCTCCCTTGGCCTCATCCCTTCATCCAAGTCGATTCTCGTTTCAAACCCAGCAGACAAAATTGCCCTCGAGTGATAATCCTTGTCCTAGGTGTCTCCTCCACTGTGCCTGCAGCCCCAGTGCCCCCATACTAAGCCCCTCAGAGAAGCTTCCTCTCACCACACAGCCCCTCCTGAGAAAACGAGGCACAGGGAGATGGAAGGACTCAGTGGTGACCCGCAGCAAGTCTGAACGGGCTGGGATAGTAGGCCAGAAAGCGGGTGTCTTCTGCTGGCTGTGGGAGGCATGGGTTTTTCTATCACAAAGCCCACATTTCTATTTTTAGTTCTCCCAGACCCAAAAAGCTGCCCTTCCTAAGGACACTCAGGCTGTAGCTGAGACTTAGGGAAACTAAAATCAAAAATTCCTGTTTATCTGTAGCTGAATTCAGTATTTCTCTCCGGTATTCCAATCTAATCCATCAAGGCAGGATGTATCAGCCCCAGAAGGTGATCCAGAGGAGAGCGTGGGAGTTAAGAGGACTCAAATTATCTGCTGCTCTGACATGAGGGCCAGAACAAAAGCAGCCTCAACTATCTGCTGAATCACAGAATTTTCCCTATGCATGATTGCAGACTACTGTGACAGGGAGGGATGGGAAGTCCCAACCCAGACAACACCAGCTAAACTGACTTCTGCAGCCCTCAGAGGTGACACACCAGCTCTGGTGGAGAAGCTGTGTCCCAGTCTCCAACCTCTGTTCTGATCAAGGAGAGCATGACATCCTTGGTCTTCAAGGTGGCCACAAACCTGCTGCCTGGCTCCTGCTCCCAGAGTGGGATGGCCACGCACACAGGGCCCCTACCTGTAAACCAGCAGCGCAGAGGAGCAGCTTGAACACCTGTCGGGCTGTAGAGGACTCTGAGGGCTCTGTTCGGGGTGGCAGGGACCCATCTTCCTGGTGTACAGACTTCACCTCGGAGCCGAACACACACGATTTGATGACAGGGAAGCAAATGCCTCGGCCTGAATGAGGTGAGAGAACATGGGAGACAGCATTAACCACAGCCTGGGCACCACAAACCACACCAGACAGGTGAAGCTTCCCCCTTATCAGCCTCCACATCTGCTGGTGTGGGGGCCTTGGAGAAACTCGTTTCAGGGTAGCACCTAGACAGCTCTGGGAGGCAGCTCTGCGAGTGGCTCAAGCCCAGTCTGAAAAAGCACTTTGGGGAAACAACCTGTCAGTGCTGAACAGAGTTCACTGAAGGGGTATGGAGAGCTCAGGGGGAGGCAGGATGTGGAAGGGAAGCCCCTGCCCTTACCTGTCTCCAGGTAATTCCTTCTCTTGAAGTACTGGATGAGGAGGAATCCTGGCACCACAATACTCGCGTAGCCAGCAGCATTAACAAAGAAACGGAAGAGCCAGAAGTCCCCCCACGAGTCCTGCAGGGCAGGCAGGATCTGTTCACCAGTAGCCATCGCAGGGAGGGAAGCCAGCACGAGGGGAAAGCAAATTCTGCAGAGAGGAAGAGGCACGTGGTGGGCTGCTGCTCCCTGCATGCCCACACCACCCGCTTCCCTGCCTGCTCCCCACCAGCAGCCAGCACCCAGATCCCACCCCCAGAGACAACAGCCATGATGGCAGCATGTGGAGTAGAAAAAGCCCTCCTGAGTTGAAGACCACAAGCCAGACATTCATGTTTGCTTCTGTTAAGGGTGTTTGCTCTGGCTTAGGACACGTGGACTTGGAAACTTGGATTTCCACGACCGGTGAGACCATTTGAACACGGTTGTAACCATGTGGTTTTGACAACGCCCTTACTCCAAATCCAAGGAGCACCTTGCATCTCGCCCTTTTAGGTCAAACTTTAGCACAGCTCCTGGGTAGAAAAATTAAAGGTCACTGGATGGAAAAAGTGACTCCTACCTAGCAGCTCATGTTTCAAGGCTGTGGCCAGGGCAGCCCTCCTCTGAGAGCAAACAGGTGAGAGCTTCCCCCTCCGGCTGCACCAGGTGAGCGGAGGAGAGCCAGGGAGGGCTCAGGCTGCCTGCCTCCCCCACCTCCTCCCACAGCCCTGGCATTCCCCACAGCTTGGAGGAAATCACCACGGCTCAGCTGCCTGGTGGCACAGCCACAGAGCAAAGCTGGGAAGGAACTTTCCTACCAGCTGGCTGGCTGGGATTTTACCAGGACAATCCAAGAAGGCATAGCTGATATTCTTCAGCTATAATCCTGAGGTGGTAACCTAGCCAGCTTTAAAAGAGCTTTAATAGTCCCTGCAGGAGTTCTTCCTTCCACTGTCCCCTCCCTCACAAGGGCAAACCTGCAATATTCAGGGTCTGTGCAGAGAACAAGAACACGAGGTACACAACTGAATGAGCAAGAGGGCAAGAATTTCCTGCACCCAAGGCCACCTGTGTCCTCCCCTCACACAGCAAGCTGTGGCTTCCTGCATCAGGGTAGGAGGCACCCTGGGTCCACCTTCCATCCCTGCATCAGGCTCTCTCACAGAAAGAGATTCCTGCTTGCCCTGGGGGCCAGGTGATGGTGCTGTGGGGCAGGCTACATAAACATGCACCAGAAGAAGCTCTGGGCTGCTGTGACAGAAAGGACGAAGGGATGTTAATCCCCCTTTCCCCCAAAACACTAAATCATAGGATTTTAGGCCCTGTGAGGTATACCTGGCCTTAACATAATACAGCTGTGACCTCTAGTAAGTGTCACATGAAATGCAAACTTACAGCTTTGAAGGCAAGAACGTCCCCTGCCATTTCATGAAAAAGTCCTCCCCACCAACCCCCTGGCTCCTTGGGAAAGGCCTGAGGGGCTTTTCTTATCTTCAATTGCTGTGGCCAGGACCCCAGAGTCCAACAACCTGACCAAAGTCAAGGCTGTGTTTCACCCTGAAATCTCCCTTCTGTGACTTACAGGACCAAGAAATTCCCAGCCCAGGGAGAAGTGCAAACAGCTGGGGGTAGGTTTCTGTGCCTGCTTCCTGTTTCACCTCGCTCTCCCCTGCAGAAAAGGCAGCTTGACACCTCCATCCCTGTCATCTGCTGCAGGGGCATCATCACAGGCTGCAGGGGTGCCGCAGGAAGCAAGAACAGGGCTCAGTGTGGGCAGCTGGTACTGAAGCTGCCCACAGTATTAAGTAGCCCTGTCTGGGGGCAGCAGCCCTCTTGCTGGGCAGAGGGCGCAGAAGTGCCGCTCGCTTCTGCAGAAGCAGGATGCGATCGGCAGGGTCTGTTGCTACACTCAGGGGCCACGTCTCCCTCCAGCTCGGCAGAGA